TATATATATATATATATATATATATATATATACACCAAAGCTTACGTGATAAATCTTAAAAACTTTTAAACAGAAACGAAACTTGATTTTTAAGAAAAGATAATCTTTTGAAAAATGTTACACTTATATAGTTTCTTTGGCAACATGAATGTAACTGAGAAATCATTGAAACCTGAACATCACCTCTATTCCATGAAACCCTTTCTTCCTGCTTTCTTTCAAACTCAACAATGTCCAAAGCCATTCTTTCTCGAATCAAACCTCGTCACCGCCTCAAAATTTCCTCCTCTTTGCCTCCCCACATCAACAACCTCGTCTCTGACGTCATCCGAATCCTTAAATCCCATCAATCGCAGGAATCCCTCCAATCTCGCTTTGCTCAATCCAATGTTATTGTTTCCGACATTGCCCATTTCGTCATTGATCGTGTCCACGACCCGGAACTCGCTCTGAAGTTCTTCGATTGGGCTTCCACCCGACCCTTCTCTTGTTCTCTCGATGGGGTTGCCCATTCCTCTCTTCTGAAGCTCTTGGCCAGGTTCAGAGTGTTCTCGGAGATCGAGTCGGTGTTGGAGAGCATGAAAGCTCAAAACTTGGTCCCTACCCGTGGAGCATTCAGTGCTTTGATTGTTACATATGGAGAATTTGGGTCGGTTGATAGGGCTCTCCAGTTATTCCATGCAGTGCGTGAAATGCATAATTGTTTTCCCAGTGTTGCCGCAAGCAATTCGTTGCTGAATGGCTTGGTCAAGAGCGGGAAAGTCGATGTTGCGCTTCAGCTGTATGATAAAATGCTTCAAACAGATGATGGAACTGGTGCTGCTGTGGATAACTATAGCACCTCGATAGTGGTGAAGGGCCTGTGCAACTCGGGGAAAATTGAGGACGGTTGGAGGTTGATTAAGGATAGATGGGGAAAAAGTTGTGTGCCACATGTTGTGTTTTATAATATGATTATTAATGGGTATTGCAAGAAGGGTGATCTCCAAAGTGCAACTAGAGCTCTCAAGGACTTGAAAATGAAGGGGGTTTTGCCAACTGTAGAAACTTACGGAGCTTTAATTAATGGATTTTGCAAGGCAGGGGAGTTTGAAGCAGTTGATCAATTTCTGACAGAAATGGCTGCAAGGGGATTGAATACGAATGTCAAAGTGTTTAATAGTATTATTGATGCAGAATATAAGCATGGTTTGGTAGCCAAAGCAGCTGATACAATGAGAAGGATGGCTGAGATGAGTTGTGAACCAGATATTACAACTTACAATGTTATGATTAACTTTTCGTGTAGGGGTGGAAGGACTAAAGAAGCTGATAAACTGATAGAAAAGGCGAAAGAAAGGGGATTGCTTCCTAATAAATTTAGCTATACACCCCTCATGCATGCTTATTGCAAGCAAGGGGATTATATTAAGGCATCAAGTATGCTTTTTAGGGTTGCTGAACTGGGAGAAAAGCCAGACTTGGTTTCTTATGGAGCTTTTATACATGGAGTAGTCGTTGCTGGGGAAATTGATGTTGCATTGATGGTCAAAGAGAAAATGACGGAGAAGGGTGTACTTCCTGATGCTCAAATTTACAATGTTTTGATGAGCGGTCTCTGCAAAAATGGAAGGTTTTCTGCCATGACATTACTACTTTCAGAAATGCTTGATCAAAATGTTCAACCTGATGCATATGTCTATGCCACCCTGATAGACGGGTTTATTAGAAGTGGTGAGCTTGATGAGGCAATTAAGCTTTTTGAAGTCATAATTAGAAAGGGTATAGACCCTGGTGTTGTGGGGTATAATGCCATGATCAAAGGCTTCTGTAAATTCGGAAAGATGACAGATGCTCTGTCATGCTTAAATAAGATGAAAAATGTGCATCATGCTCCAGATGAATATACGTATTCCACAGTTATAGATGGATATGTAAAACAGCATGACATGAGTAGTGCCCTCAAGATGTTTGGACAAATGATGAAATATAAATTCATGCCAAATGTGATCACCTACACCTCTTTAATCAATGGGTTCTGTAAGAAAGCAGATATTATCAGAGCTGAAAAAGTTTTCGGAGGAATGAAAACTTTCAATTTGGAGCCTAATGTTGTCACCTACACCACACTAGTTGGGGGTTTCTTTAAGGCTGGTAGACCTGAGAAAGCAACATCCATTTTTGAGTTAATGATGATGAATGGTTGCCTTCCAAATGATGCTACATTCCATTACATGGTAAATGGTTTAACAAATACTGCACCTACTCCGGTTCTTGTTGAGAAAAGCGATTCCAAGGAAAATGAGAGGTCACTGATTTTGGATTTCTTCACAATGATGATTTTGGATGGATGGGGGCCGGTGATTGCAGCTTATAATTCTATTATTGTTTGTCTTTGTAAACACGGAATGGTTGACACTGCCCAATTATTGCAAACTAAGATGCTGAATAAGGGATTTCTTATAGACTCTGTATGTTTCACTGCTCTGCTACATGGTTTATGCCAAAAAGGCAAGTCAAAAGAATGGAGAAATATTGTATCCTGTGATCTAAGTAAGACTGAACTTCAAACTGCTGTTAAATATTCCCTGACATTAGACAAATACCTATATCAGGGAAGGCTCTCAGAGGCTTCAGTTATTTTACAGACCTTGATTGAAGACTCCAAGTTTTCTGAACAGCCTGATAAAAATCTAAAGGTTATAGCAAGATAGAGACTGAGGAAATTCCATTGCATGAGGAAATTTTACAGATTAAAGAAGTCGAGCAATATTTCAGTCATGTATGAATGTGTATATAATGTGATCTACATAGAATTTAAAGAAGACATTTATATTGTCTTTTCTGAATTCTATTAACCTTCTTGATGTCAGCAAACAGCAAATAGACAACACAAATTATCTTCAGACAGTCATTTTATGAAGAGTATATAAGTGAATCATTATCATCCCCAACCTTTTTCACTATTACTAGCATCAGTTAAAGATGTTGAATCTCAATGCTTTGAAGCTGGCATGCATAAAGATGTTGAATATCAATGCTTTGAAGCCTGAGACAGCTGCCTGTAACAATAAAGAGGTTCTGAATTGATATAAATCTTACAGTTGCGCGGTGTGCATATAGGTTTACTTTTCTCCCATGGGAAGCAGCGGGAGCATGTGTATTGTATATAATTTTTTGACAAATAACATCAAATGTGTATTAAATCTCTATTTCATTAGTCTGTTGCAGCCATTAGCTATGAAAGTGGTCCAAGACCTTCCCAATCCCCACAAACATAGGAGGAAACTTTGCCTGACACGAATACACGATCCCAAGGTTGTTTGTTTCTTTGGTTTTTGACAGTTCCAAAGTTATTTCTTCAGTTTCTGGCAGTTCACTTACCATATTGGGAAAAGTTCTCCTACATAATAATTTGCCCCCACTGATATATTTTCGCCTACTTTAATGACTTTATTGCCCCTTTCTGACTATCCCATGGGATGGGAGAGGGGCAAAATTGCAGCGAGCCTACAACACTAACCAATTTCAAAGTCAAGGCATTGGGATATATATTTTGCAGACTAGTCTAAATGGAGTTGGATTCTTCTTCACCATATCAGACAGTTGGGTTATGCATGCATTCTGATTCAGATGTGAGAAAGCTGAAAAGTGTCTTATGGAAGTAGTTGAAATCTACAATAGAGCTGAAGAACAGAGAAGAATAATTGGTTCTTCGTCATCCCAGGTGTGATCTTTGGTTGGTTTTCATAAATCAAGTAGTACATTCAGTAAAAGGTCTCCTTGATTTATCATTACCATATTTTCTAAAGCTAAATTGTGTTGTGCGAGTCTACTCAGATGATTACATGGACAATTGATAAATACAACAATGCTGCAGATGTTCAACCCCATCCATGGAGTGCAAGCTCACTTATCTTGAACTTTCAAGTGCTGCATTGAGGGTGCTATCAGTGTTTGCTGGAACGGAAACAACTTTAGATCTATTGTCTGAGTTCTCTTTGGATAGAGAAATGCATGAAACAATGTGAAAAGTACAAGATATGGATGAAACTAGTATTTACTTTATAATTACATATTTTTTTATTTTATTTCGATTCTTAATATTCATTAGTAGACACGTATTTGTATATTCTAGGACCAAAATAAAAGAAATTTAAATTTGGGAGATCAAAGTTTGAATCACACCCCCAAATTTCGATAATTAAATACATAATTAAACGTTTTCTAAAATCCCTATGAATAGGTAGCTTAACAAACAATATTTTTAATTACTTTCACTGCAATAGACCATAAATTATACAGTTTTTTTTGGTGTTAAATTAATTTGCATAGGTTTATGAAAAATATAATCAACAAATACCATGGTACTTAAACTTGAGAGTATTAAAGGTGTGGACATATTAAAAAGTTCTGGACCGGAACTCTAATTAAGTATTTATAATAATTAAATTATATTACATTCATTAAAATTGCGATAGTATTAGGTTTAGATATTCAAAGTTCCTTTAATTTTTTTTTCTCATAGTGTCAGAGTATTAATTCAAGTCAAGAAGAGTGTGAATGTCGTACTTAAAAGTTGAGTTGATGGTTAAACGATATATTGTATCACTTAAATCATAGTTTTATCATTCAATTTATATATGATATGTTCCTCAAGCACATATTCATGACAAGTTGTTAATGTTTTTATTAACATTCATTGTTTTAAATTCATTTATTCATGGTTGGTGATTTGAGTATATTTATTTATTCTATGGTGTGAGTTGGTGTAAAAAATGTTGGTATCAAATCACAAAGATGAATGATGAATAACATAGGAAATTAAATTAGATATGTATTAAAAGAAGAACAATAAATGATGACATTTAAGTAATAATTAGAGTATTGCTGAATAAATATGATATATTATGTAGATAGTGAAGTAGAGAAATATTATTTCTTTAATAATGCATAGTGCAAATATTACGTTAGAGAATTTTATATATTTAAGTTTTATTACATATTGAGTCACAAACAATTATCATATGACAATTATCATATGACAGAAGTCGATTAAAATTTATATAATTAAATTAAGAACGAAGACTTATCAATAATTATTAATATATATATATATATATATATATATATATATAAATATAATTTTAGATTAATAAGATATTATTATTGGTGTTAATATATGATCTCCTCACATTCTTTTTTTTTTGAGTTTGTGAGAAAAACAAAATATAACTCCATAAAAGATGAAAAAAATAGTATTGCAACTAAATATAGTTTATATATATATATCAACATAAAAAATATTTTTAAATAATTATCGTCCTAATTGAACTATCTAAATTACAATGGTAACATTGACAAATAAACAATTTCACTTTTTTTAATGAATTAAAACTTCGTGTATATGAAGTATTTTCAAATAAAAAATTAATGGCTCTTAACTTTAATGAATCATCGATCTCTTTGTTAAGCCGAATTTTTCCAAAATGTTACTTGATGGAAGTTTTAGTTCATTTCAATACACGAATAATGTAAAATATAGTTAATTATATACTAATTAATCTTATCACAATGGCTTGACAATTTATTTAATATAATTAAAAATGATAATTGCGTAGACAACTTTTCCCTTACTGTTATTTTTTTTAAAGAAATAATTGCATCAAATGTGCCTCTTCACGATAAATAAATAGCTACAACTAATTAAAATATTACGGTTGAAGCTTTCACAAATTTATATTTTATCATAAATACAATTAAACATATCTTCAAATTATATATATGAATACATTTTTTTAATACATTTTTTTTAAATATGACGTTGATTAAAAAAACTAATTTAAAATATAGACTTAATTACTATTTTAGACTTTATTTTCGGCTATTTTATTTAATGTGATTCTCATTTTTTTCACACATTTAATTTGGTCTTATTTTTGTAATTTTTGTAAATTTTGTTTAATTTTTTTTTATGTTGTCTAAACTGTTATACGGGAGCAGATGAAGGAATATCGTTCGATTTAGTGCCAACGAAGGAAGAGATGGAATAATAAATTAGAAGAGTTCGAGTTGTATTTATGAGTTTTTAATTACACACACACACATATATATATATATATATATATAGTCTGTTTTATATAAAAATATTCTTA